CGGGATTTTCACCTGTATCTTACCTGTATCGGTGCTTTTATCCGTTGTTGTAGTGGTATTATCCATTGCTGTAGTAGTATTATCCATTGCTGTAGTAGTATTATCCATTGTCGTGGTGCTATTATCCATTGTCGTGGTGCTATTATCCGCTATCGTGGGTTCCGTCACATTCCCATCGGTACCCACACACACATCCACAGAATTCCAGAAAATCACACAAATCAGAATTATTCCAAATTTTAATTTCACTCTTGTTTCCATTTTAATCGAAAATTCAGAAAAAAATGTGTCACTGACGACAGGTGTTCAAGATTACATAAACACCCAATTTTATTATTTTTCAAAAAAATAGTCCGATTCGTTGACAGTAAATTCTTAAATAAATTTTATAATCCCAATTATTTGACAGAGACAGAATTTTCACTGTTCACCTGTATATGGTCGAGTCTAAATGAATTGATTAATAAGAATAGAAACAGTCGACTAGTCTATTGTTATCATCAAGGTAAAACAGGTGTCTGTATAATGCAGTAGGCTTTGTTCTGTTTTATCAGCAGGTAATGTGTATATTCGCCATTAAATATGATTTCATAATAGGGTTTGAAAGTAACAGCTTGCATGGTTTGTTTTCGATCAATTGGACCTTAAATATTTCAAGTCAATATTTCGACATTTAGATGGTGATTTTTGTCGATAAATTTCCTTTAAGCCCGGATCACACCATCTCCAGGACAATGGTAGTGCCCGTAGCTCAGTCAACTGATACACCGTGTAGATTTATCGTCTGCTTAGGGGATGAGATGTTATTGGAACAAATCCTTGGGATCAGTATTGACTCTCAACTGCTTTCACCAATACCGTCCTCTTTATGACAAGATCGGTAATATCGCATCCCTTGTCTCGCAGTGGACAGTTGGTAGCAACTAAAGTGGGCTATGGAGGTAGGGGTGATACAGGGGAGAGGGGAGGGGGAGGGGGGGGGGGGGTGTCAGGAAGAGGGAGGAGTCTGGTGGACAGTTATAGGTACTTCCCCGAGCAATTATTATCCCGCTATATTATACGAGTCGGATTGTTGGTAGTGTGTACGGGGCCTCAAATTTGAAATCTCCTAGATCAAGTGTCAGGGGGCGTGTCCCCGGTAATCTCTTTCCTTATATACTGTTAGTATCACAGAAGACAAATAATAAATAATATGAAATAAAGTGATACGGTCCTCAATTGAATTGAATACAATAAATAAATCTATGTTATTAAATAAATCTATATCGCTCTACAATTGATATATTGAGCACTATTTTAACAGTGATATTTCTATATCGCTCTTTAATTGATGTATTGAGCACTATTTTAACAGTGATATTTCTATATCACTCTACAATTGATGTATTGAGCACTATTTTAACAGTGATTTTTCTATATCACTCTACAATTGATGTATTGAGCACTGTCTTAACAGTGATATTTCTATATCGCTCTACAATTGATGTATTGAGCACTATTTTTAACAGTGATATTTCTATATCGCTCTACAATTGATATATTGAGCACTGTCTTAACAGTGATATTTCTATATCACTCTACAATTGATGTATTGAGCACTATTTTAACAATGATATTTCTATATCGCTCTACAATTGATGTATTGAGCACTATTTTAACAGTGATATTTCTATATCACTCTACAATTGATGTATTGAGCACTATTTTAACAGTGATATTTCTATATAACTCTACAATTGATATATTGAGCACTGTCTTAACAGTGGTATTTCTATATCGCTCTACAATTGATGTATTGAGCACTATTTTAACAGTAGTATTTCTATATCGCTCTATAATTGATGTATTGAGCACTATTTTAACAGTGGTATTTCTATATCGCTCTACAATTGATGTATTGAGCACTATTTTAACAGTGGTATTTCTATATCGCTCTACAATTGATGTATTGAGCACTATTTTAACAGTGGTATTTCTATATCACTCTACAATAGATATATTGAGCACTATTTTAACAGTGATATTTCTATATCACTCTACAATTGATGCATTGAGTACTATTTTAACAGTGGTATTTCTATATCGCTCTACAATAGATGTATTGAGCTCTATTTTAACAGTGGTATTTCTATATCACTCTACAATTGATGTATTGAGTACTATTTTAACAGTGGTATTTCTATATCACTCTACAATTGATGTATTGAGCACTATTTTAACAGTGGTATTTCTATATCACTCTACAATTGATGTATTGAGTACTATTTTAACAGTGGTATTTAATATCCTAGATGGTTTTTTTATTTCTATGTCGGGAGCGATATCTTAGCTACAGGCGATACATGCGCAAGTTAAATATTTCCCCCGGCAAATGAAAATAAAACAATTCTTTGACAATTGGACAGATCACACGACAAGATTGACAGATGGAAATCGAAGGATCCCTTAACAGAAGGAAACGACAGATTCCTTGACAATAGGAAACGACAGATCTCTTGGCGGTTGGAAATGGAAGGATCCCACTTCACATGGAAATCGATTTACCAGGCGTTCAAGCTATATATATTTATATATATAGATAGGATAATTTGATTCAGCTAATAATCCTATTTTCAATTTTTATTATATTATTTCAATATTTCAAAATATACCATTTGAGCACGTTGCCATTTTAAGAGGAGGAAGTTAATTAGAATAAGGAACTACTCATATAAACTAGAAGTAATATTTGTAGCCTACTATCTAGTACAATAGTTATATTTTATAGATGAATAGATGAGGATGGGGAAAAGGTTTAACAAATCAGGCGTGAGAGTAACATCTTCCTTTAAAAGGAAGGGGGGGGGGGGGGAGGGGGGGCGGGGGTCTGAATTAACTCACAGGGGCCATGAAGTTCTGCTCACCGATGACTGGGACTTTAGTTAAATTCATGGGGTAAATTTTGGTTTTTCCATTATTTTCTGTATTTATATATATAGATAGGATAATTTGATTAAGAGGAGGAAGTTAATTAGAATAAGGAACTACTCATATAAACTAGAAGTAATATTTGTAGCCTACTATCTAGTACAATAGTTATATTTTATAGATGAATAGATGAGGATGGGGAAAAGGTTTAACAAATCAGGCGTGAGAGTAACATCTTCCTTTAAAAGGAAGGGGGGGGGGGGGTCTGAATTAACTCACAGGGGCCATGAAGTTCTGCTCACCGATGACTGGGACTTTAGTTAAATTCATGGGGTAAATTTTGGTTTTTCCATTATTTTCTGTATTTATATATATAGATAGGATAATTTGATTCAGCTAATAATCTTATTTTCAATTTTTATTATATTATTTCAATATTTCAAAATATACCATAAACACTTGAGCACGTTGCCATTTTAAGAGGAGGAAGTTAATTAGAATAAGGAACTACTCATATAAACTAAAAGTAATATTTGTAGCCTACTATCTAGTACAATAGTTATATTTTATAGATGAATAGATGAGGATGGGGAAAAAGTTTAACAAATCAGGCGTGAGAGTAACATCTTCCTTTTAAAAACACAACCCTACCCTATTTCCACACATTGCTCGTTTGTTGCCTCTATAATTATACACGATTGCTCCTCGAAATTCTTTCCTTGATCATGGTTATTAAAACCACACCTTCTCATCATTAGATTGATAGGATCGTGGTTAACTTTTCTAAATAGCTTTTGGAAAGCGGTGAAATTATTCGAATCAAAAAGACCTCGTTTGATAGTAAAGCCAGAGGGGTCAACTGAAGGCAATGAAGGCCCTACTCGTATAATGTCACAGGTTTCATGTTTGTTTCTAGAAGTAACATTAGTGCGATATGCTTTTATTGAATTTTATAAGAACTGGGAGTGGGATTTTTTATTCTCAAAAGTAGTACGGTACAGATAGCTGAGATGCGACTCTATCTGCTGATAAAGTAAATATTTATACGACTGTATCCCTATAATTGTTTGCTACAATGAAAGGGAGGTAACTCTAGTTATATCTTATTAATAAAGACAACTATTAAATTACAACAATTAGATTTGTTCTGTAGTCTTGTCAAAATTTACCTCCCTTTAAATGGGCGTATCACAACAAATCGAAAGTAAAGTCAAGTTGAAAACCGCTGATTAACAAGTGGCTGATTGACTTTGATCTTTGATAAGTAAAGTTTGATGTATTTGAACTAAAGATTTGCTATTATGACAAGACTACTCGGACTAATGAACTGACTGTATCAGCCGAGCTCTGATTTGAGATAAGATAACAAAACAAAGGAGAGTTATGACCTAGTCCAGTTTTCAGGTATTTTTTTTCAAATTTCTGAATAAAATATTTTGAAGATATGAGGACTGTTGACAGTATAAGATTTCTGTCAGAGCAGTGCCAGTCAGAGCAGTGCCAAATCTCCCTGGAGCAGAGTCCCCATCCCCCTCCCCCTTTCATTTTAAAATTTCCTTATCATTTTTACAAGGGGAAAAAGTTGCCTGTCAATGTGATCCTTTGACGATTTTTTGCAGTTCATTCTCCCCGAACAAGCCATGTAAGGATTCATAAAATAAAATATGAAATAAATGGAGTGTTACTTTTCTGCACCTTATTGGGCTAATGGAAACAGCCACTGCTTTGAAGTGGAACAGAGGCATAAGCGTACTCTTTCTGTCAAACAGTACTAAACAGGAACATGTCAGCCCCTTCGAAATGAAATGGGAGCAACTAAGTTGATAAATCAGAAGGCCTCTCCATAAGTCTTTCTTAATATCATAATACCGATTTGACCTACCAGTATATTGATTACTTTTCTTTCAGAGAATGACCTGCTAGGTACAACACTTATAATTGTCTAGGCACAGTGACAACTGAATAAGAGAGAAAACAGGAGAAATCTGGGTGTTAAAGACCAGTTAAAAGAGTTGAAAATGGGGTACCATATTAAAACATGTTTAACTGTGACCCTATTTCACCTTGCCATAAGTCTCGCCCAATCAGGTGACATGTATCTTAAAGTTAACTCAGATGATGTTCGTGGGACGTTTCAACACTTTTGGAGAAGTACAGGATTTTGGTAAGACACTATTTTTCTTTAAGATATTACTCAAAATATTTTATTTTTTGAATGAAATTTGCATATTTAGTTTATGCTATTGGTAGATTGAGTTTTACCTGAAGTTGTAAATAACATGCTAATATCAAGAGGTTTGATAAGATAAGACAGACAGAAAGGACAGGATCCTCCAAATTTAAGTTGTTATTCTTTTAGATATTTCTTTTTTTTTTTAATATTTGTGATTTTCCAGCCCGCCATTACCTCATCACAAAGCCCATGATTTTGATTTGAGTAAAGATATGAAACAGAACCTGGCCTATATCGGTGCCGTACCTCATCGTGGTATTGAACAGGTCAGAATTCATTGGTTACTGGATTTAATAACAGTTCCTACGTAAGTTTTCTTTTTGAGATCAATGCCAAGAGGCTTGGCCAAGGACCAGCTGGTAGAAAGGATCCTTAACTGTGACCCTAAGTTGTAAGCCTTGTAAAATATAGTTGTTTCTTTATCTTTTTTCTTTTCTACTATTATTATTCTATAATTCCATCATATGCTGTTTTTTTTTTCAGATATTCAACAGAAGGACAACCAGAATATAATTTTACCTATTTAAATCAGTTGATTTATGAACTATATAGAAATGGTTTAAAACCAGGGTTCGAAGTTATGGGCAACCCTTCTAATGTCTTTACAGATTTTGAAAATAAAACTCAGGTTTATATGTGGAAGGATTTGATTAAACTGATAGCTACAAGTTATATACGTAAGTTGAAAGGTTTTTTTTTTTACTGTTGCTGTTTTGATAAGAAGTTCCCAATAGTTCAATTCCATTTTTTTGTTTCTATGGTGAAGAGCTATATCTGAATTGCAAAACAAAAAGAAAGTTATGAACAATATATGAAAAGGATAAATATAATTGTATATTTCTAGAGGAATATGGTTTAGATTATGTTAAATCGTGGAATTTTGAAGTTTGGAATGAACCTGACTGTGAAGATTTTGATATGAAATTTACGTTAAAAGGTAAGTAGAGCATGAAAAATGAAAAAATAGCATCTATCTGAAGATTGCAACTCTGAGTAACAACATGTTTTTTTAGTTTCTGTTTTAATATTTCTAGTATATTCCTATATATTGTATTTACAATTAATAAATTGTTTTATAGTGTTCACGGCTTACTGTCGAAATATGAGCCTTCAAATCCATGTGTGTCCAGAATTATTAGCGTTTAAAATTTGAAAAGACACTGTCATATATAGAACAGACATCTATAGAAATAGGAAAAGAAATTCCTAGATATTTTTGAATGTATTAAGTGATTTTCTAGTACTTCTGAAGACTACAATCAACCCCCCAAAATTGCGCTTCCCTTTTAAGACATACTTTTGTTGAACAATTCCAGGATTTGCCAATTATTACGATGCCACAAGTGAAGGGTTGATGCAGGCTCATCCTGATCTGATATTTGGGGGTCCTGCAGGTGGATGTGGAACTCTTGGTGGCAGCAAACATCACGGACATTACGAGCTGTATCTATTGAATCATATTGTTTTTGAGAAGAATTATTTTTCTGATAAAATTGGAACAAGGGTAGATTTCATCTCACTACATAAAAAGGTAAACTATTATTTTTTTAGTAAGCCTATCTGAACTGTTATCCTTGTAACATCATGGTATAATCTGAAATTCGCTTGTTACTCAGAGTTTCAAGCTGTGTTTTCTGCAAACAACTTCCTTTGATTTATTGACATGCAATGTGCACAGTTATTTAACTCTTAATAGAGCTTGCCTTACTCCTTATCGACAAATATTTCCTCTCCAATCTGTGTGCTATTTCCTTACTTTACAAGCTGAAATATGGTATTATCAATCTAGTTTATGAAGTACAAACAGTTTGGGTTTTCACTGATCAGAAAACCTGACAGGTAATATTTTTTAACTTCAATGAACTACTGTATTTTTCTAGGGAGATGGCAAGGCTATGAATATTATAGAAGATACCATAGCTTCCATGAAAAATATAGGAATACTGTTCCCCACCCTGGCTAACAAACCTTTTTATAATGAGTAAGTTATTACTGTGGATTATTTATTGTTCGATGGATTTTGTAGGTCAGTCAATGTCCATTTCTACATTTCCAGGACATTAAAACACTTTAAAACAGTGTATTTTGTTAATTAATGAAAGATGGACCGTTCAGGAATCTCTGAAAGGGATAACAGGTTGAAAATTCTACGTACTATCCCATAATAAACATTATGAGCTATGTGGACTCTTTGAAACAGATCGTCATATATAATTTCTTTCGTGATATTGTCCTGTGAGCATTTGTCTGTAAGGTGTTATTTGGTTTATTCCAGTGAAGCTGATCCTATGGTAGGTTGGAGTAAAGATCTAGCCTGGAGAGCTGATAGTATTTATGGTGCCATGGTTGTCAAGGTAATACATTTCACACTGAAATCTTTAATCTGAAACAGTTACTTGTTATTTCAACTATATCCTTTGAAGTTCTATCAGCTGTTAAGTAAATATCTTTTAGCCATCTCTATTTCTTTAATTTCTATCTAGTAAGGTAAATATGTACACCATGGTATTCCTTTAATGTTGCATTTTTCTACTTTCAGATTATAGCTCAGCATCAGAATATTTTCAGAGCCAATCCCGACAGCCCTGTTAATTTCCAGTTACTTAGTAACGATAATGGCTTCCTTAGTTACTACCCTTATCAGTTTACACAGCGCACCCTGGTGGCACGATTTCAAATCAACAATACATCTCCACGTTATACCACGTTTGTACAGAAACCAGTTCATGCTGCCATGGTGATGTTATCAAAACTGGGAAATCAGCAAGTTTATGTTGGAGGTAAATTCTCCGGAAATATTTGATTGAGGACTATGATCAATAAGCATGTGCATTTGACCTAGATCTGAAGGTTGACATATAGTTTGCAAAACAAATCCTTACTGTATACTCTACAAGAAAAGTTTATGAAATGTACAGAGGCTTTTGAATAGGATAACAGAAACTCTAGAGCTGCGAAAAATCCTTGGAATGGGCCTCGAAGTGAACCATCTAACCGATCCTAAACCATTTTTATTGTAATGAGCTCTTTTGTCCTTTCATGTAAGCTGTAAATGTCTGTGCTCATAGTTTTTAGTTTGGTACATCATTTCCAGTAGTTTTGTTTCCTTGGAGTTATATCTCGAACAGAGAACATTTCTTCTGGAATTTAGAATGGTTACTGTAAATATGCCAGTCCAGAGGTCCTCATACATGATAAATTTATAGTTGAAAACTTTGTAAATATTGTAGGTATTAAAGCTAATGATAGTAACAATGGAGCCCTGGCTACAGTTTATTATCCTAGTGGTAATGACACGTCTGATAGGTAGGTATTTCTCCTTTAGAGAGTCCACACAGCTTAAAATGTTTGTCAACTCAGAATCAATTTCAGAGAGTCCACGACCACAAATTGTGTTCAACTCCTCATGTGAAAAGTTCATTAGCTGCTGCCAATGTTTCGCCAATATTTTGTTTTTGGATTTCAAGTTTTGTTGTGTGGTTTTGGTTCGTTAGTACTTGGTTTATTTATTCAACTGATATGTGTGCTGCTTATTACACTAAATGATTTACTACAGACGTCACTATAGTTATATAATATTTTAGTTGGCAGATGAGTATATTAGTCTATGATAGTAATGATACAGATCATGGTAGTGAGTATGGTGAACTAGAATTAGATTGGTATATCAACCCTCCTGATCCCAAACAGGGTGAGTTATAACATTTATGTTAACTTGTGCTGGGGTCAGGTACTCTATAGTTAGGAATATAATGCGCACCAATTTGGAAAAATCTCATTCGTAATCTCCACATACATAAAATAAGTATGCTCAATCTTCCAGATGCCTGATACCACTTTTCATTATGAAATATTTACTCATTTCTGATTGATATAATTTCTCATATGAATTGCTCATTAGCACCTATGTATTGCCAAACTTTTACTCTGAATTTTGTGTTGCGTTTTACAGTTTAGATTGTTAAAACCTGGTTTTATAGATTAAGCTACTGTGCAGAAGAATAGGATGTAAAACTCCATTAATTTTATGCTTCTGATATTATTATTATGTTTTTTTTATTTTCTGTCTCCTTAGAGTTAATGATGGTAGGCTATGCTGTATTTGCTCTGGGTAATGATCCTTACGGAGTGTGGGTAGGGCTGGATAATAAAACAGCCTACCCCACCCAGTCTCAGTGGGATTATATACGTTTACAAGAGGTGAGATATAGAACATAACATTACATATTATATAATACCACAATTTACCACAATTATACCACAAGGGGGCGCAGTGGCTCACTGGGATAGATGCCGGCTTGCTAATCTGAAAATTCATGGTTCGTTCCCAGCATACATCGAGTTAATAACTTTGATAGTTGGAAATAATGGAAGAGTAGGCTAATGTAGCTGGCCTGACTAACTATTCCTTGTTTTACATTACATGGCCTCATGTGACTCTCTAGAGGCTTAACCATTGACAGCTAAACTTGATCTATGAAATCTTCATGGCTTCTTCTCTGAAGGAAACAAGGCTAAACAAGTTTCAGATATCCACATCAGGACTACTCATTGGACCCCAATTTTAATTTTCTAATATTAAGATATAGGTATTATTCTTACAGACATTTGTTGAGATATGTTAACCTTATACAATAATATCTTGTCTGAAAATATTTAGTATAATATAATTATTGATTTTGTTTCAGGGTCCAAGTCGGGTATCAATGCAGCCTGTAAAATCAGGTCCTGGAAAAGTTTTAATTCCACCACGCTGGCAGATTTTACAACCCGAGGCTACATTACTTCATCTGTGTGCTAAATCAGACATGGCTCCAGAACAGGTAGGGGTTTTATTTTTGGAGCAACATTAAATCCATACTAATATTTTAGTTCAAGGCTAAAAATAGTGTGCTAGTTATTTATTTGACTATTATTGAGATCTCCCACGTGCATACACTCTTTATTATGAAACTCTATTATTTAGGGTGTTTTGTTAAATTCAGCTATGATTCAACAGTTCTGTAGCACAGTTGGTTAGAGACTTGAAACATGACATTTTCTGCTCGATTATGTTGAACAAACTGTTGTTGTGGGTTGTAATCTGGGTTAGTTTGTCAAAGTCCTTGAAGGATAATGTTGGAAAGAATTATTCCAAGAGGTTAAGTTAAGGACAAGCTTGTAGACAGGATACTGGTGAAGTTGTTAATAACAAGCTTGTAGACAGGATACTGGTGAAGTTGTTAATAACAAGCTTGTAGACAGGATACTGGTGAAGTTGTTAATAACAAGCTTGTAGACAGGATACTGGTGAAGTTGTTAATAACAAGCTTGTAGACAGGATACTGGTGAAGTTGTTAATAACAAGCTTGTAGACAGGATACTGGTGAAGTTGTTAATAACAAGCTTGTAGACAGGATACTGGTGAAGTTGTTAATAACAAGCTTGTTATCCATGTAAAAAATGGTTGCTCCTTATCTCAATAAAGGAACACTATCTATACTTCCAAACTACTAATTTATTATAGGTGACAGGTTTAAGGTTTATCAATATAACAGTGGGACAAGTTTTAGTTATCTGGTCTGATGATAATATAAAAACTAAGTAAGATAATCTTCTCTGTACCTATTATAATCTCAGCTGATAAGGTCTTATTCTCTTCCTCAACACTGAGATTTTGTGACTCGGTAAAAAGGTGCATTCAGTGTCTTATGCTTCCCATTTGTTCGCGTCACAAAGTCTAAAGGTTGGAGAGGGCAGAAATTTGATTGGCTGACAGTGTCATCAAACTGACGAATGTGCAAGAAGGCTGTCTTTAGACCCTAACTGAAGTGGCTATACCTTGTGCCAAAAATTATGATAGGCCAGTTTAATCATTTTGATATTCTGTATTTTATAGATGTATTTATACGTACGAAGTAGCATTCTCTCCAACCAATATTACCGGGCCATATCAACGTGTAAATAAAGTTGATACTATAGCAACCATTTCAGTCATATCACCCCACCCTCATGATGGTAGGTTTTCTGGGTATTTTCACTTTACATGTTGTGATGGACACCAAGAAGCACTGGCTGTGGACCCTTAGAAATCAGCTTTTCATTCAGCTCAGATCTGAATTATGATCCGTTTTTTTCAAAATGTTAAATATTATGAGAGTTCTCGACACTGTGTCCTTGGTTTTGATTTTACTCTGATTAATTTGCCTAAAATTGCAGAAACTATTTTAAACCAATGGGGATGAAGTGTGTCTTGTGTAACACTGATGAAATATAATTGATATATTGTAGGTTTAACTGGTGATGATTTGGTCCAAGGTTACTATAAAGTACGAGCTGTAGATTATTGGAAACGAACTGGATTTTACTCGAACGCTGTTTATTATCCTGAAGATATTCCTGTGTAGTGGCGACCCGCTTCCTCTATTGTTTGGTGAAGAATTGGTTAACGGAGTGGGGTATTGTATGATTGCGAGATGGATCATTGGAAATTGCCTGGATTTTAATTTAACCCTGTTTATTATCCAAAGGATATTCTTGTCTAATGGGGGCTCGAAATTACTTATGTGTGCGAGGTCTGGGTAAGGGGTGTATGATTGTGTAACAATTAAGTTTTTATTCTAACCCTGTTAATTGTTCAGTCTTATGAGACTTGTAGTGTGGGTAATTAATGATTTTCAGGATGAATTTTTTTATTTTTTTATACAATTGTTATGAAATAAATTGAATATTTTTATTTTGTTTAAAATCGTTTACTTGTATTGAACATATCAACAATCAACTCCTTTCACATGAAGCGAAGGTCATAGTGGCTCATCATGCCAATGTGCGTATGTTAAAATTCTTTTACATTTGGAATTGCACATAATGCAACTTTCCTAGCAAAATTGTTCCTAAAGCAAACTGCATGGCAATACCATTTCTTTATTTTACAACAGCATTTTCTCACTATAAACCTTAAATATCCTTGATGTAAAAATCATTTGATTTGATAAGTACACAAGCATCTTTCAGACTATAAGATTTCTAGAATACAATCTGCTCGGCTATTTGAAGGGGTAAAGAAAAACATGTATATTTAAATATTTTTTTTATTTTGACTGTACAGTTTATGAAATCGAGCTGGCGTTAGACGCTATACGAGGCCATAAATCGGCACATTCCTTAGCAACTGGTCCAGTGATGGCGGAACCTGAAAATATATAATTAAAAGAAATTAAGATTTGAAGATTCATTTAAAGTTTCATGTATCCCAACACTTTGATAAGTACGACACTAAGTCAAAACTTAATTTCAAAATTATCATTTAGATTATAGAATTGATCAACGAGAGTTTTCTTGATACCAGACAGCACCCTATAGATTGGTTTGTCCAACTAGCATACCATCAAGAAGACCACATAGCCGTGTCAACTTGGCATTCCCTTCAGAGAGTCCGCATAGCTAATAATGTTTTTTCTATAGAAAATTGTTGTGTCCATTAATTTTTAGAACTGTATCTGGAAATAGGTCTTCAATCTGAACAATATAATCCTGATTGACTCGATATCCAGTATTTCTATAACCTCGTTTTGGCACCCAATTAGCATAAACTAGAAAGGGTAATTTGACCAAGGTATCAAGTCTTCTTCAAAATGGAAAGTTCACTTTTTCACCTCTTTTTTTTACATATGGCAGAGTCTCAGAAAAGATGAGCAGACAAGTTAACATTCAAACACAGATAATTCTGGACACACACATAGATTAGAAGACTCAAATTTTGACGGCGAGATGTGAACACTATTACTGATTATTCAAGCTAAGGAAGTTCCCATTTCTGAGATAAAGGTATGATAGGTCGAACGGAGGTGAACGTCTCTTTAAAGACACGTGACCAGCCATGACCAATCAAGTCTGCTTTTAGAGAAACTCTTCAAAAATGAACAAATCAATAAACAATTTTCCTTACCTTTCATTTCACCTTTAGGATTAACTATGACCCCAGCATTATCTTCAAAATATATAAATACTCCATCTTTCCGTAAAAACGGTTTTCTTTGTCGAACAATTACTGCGGGCATTACTACAAAATAATAAGATAATATTACAGTTTTTTACTGTATATATACCTGTTGTGTTTTCTATCATTAACGTTTCGTGCTTGATAAAGATTCCTGTATGTGAAAATTAAAGAAAGGAGTAGTATATCTATAATAGTGTTGTTATTTATTTAATAAGATACTATATTAATAGTTGTGTCAAAAATTCCATATAATTTCATTCAATGATGGAGATTTTTGTGAAAAGTGACAAGAAAAGCGGAATAAATATTTACAATTTTTGCATATCTCATCCTAACCTATTTTCTGAGATGTAGATAAATATCTTCAACTTTGTTTTTCTAATGGATAAAAGCATTGTCGAATGGATTGCAGGTCTTGCCAAAAAAGCAAGGCTATTGGTCAAACTTGTTGGACATCAAATTCAACAAAGTTAAAGGCAATAGAACCAGTTGTAGGAGAAAATACTTTCAGTTACAAATACAAATATTGGAAAATAGCTTAGGCCTACCTTTTTTCCTCAATTCTGGTTTTCCCTTTTTAACTGTAGCTACGACCATATCACCACATCCAGCAGCTGGCAGTCTGTTTAATCTTCCACCAACTCCAGCTACAGCCATGATATACAAATTCTTAGCCCCTGGAAAATAATACATCAATGAATGACATGAAGTTACATCATACTGCTTTCAGTCTTATCAACTTGCATCATTCCAACTTCAGTCAGATACGTTTCTTGTAATTCTACTGACACTAATGCCCTTAAATATTGTAAACATTTTTGGTAATAGCGACGTTTTGGCATTTCTATAATTACAAGAACCTAAAACATCTGACGACCATTTGAAAAATTTAGAACAATCTTTACACAATGTCACCCCTATGGGTGGAACTTGAAAAGGGGAGGGGGATACCATACATTCATACCTGAGTTATCTGCACAGTTGATGATGGCACCAACTGGAAGACAGGCGCAGATTCGGAATTTTCCTCCCGCGGATCCTCCTCTTCCTGAAATACACAATATACTTCATAAATATAGGTCAACAAACCAGGTTACATGTCACAGTTTCTGATAAACAGCACAGAGGATGTCTTAGCTATAAAATGAAACTGTGTGAAAAGGGTAAGAGTCAAGAGACGTGGACTGGAGTACTTCTTGTAAATTCTAAACGTTTAAATTTGACAACACATTTGTTTACATCAAAAAACACGCTAATTAACTTACATGGGGATTGAATTCAGATAAACTATCAATACATTATTAGATAATGTAGAGTAAACACAAACCATTTATCGAATTATGATGGAAAAAGTCATCAGTGCACAAATATTCGTCATATGGGCATAAGATTGAAAGGGTTATGTAGTTGAATTTCAGACCAATTCGGAGATAAAGACATTCGATTGTGGCAGAAGGAGGATTTGTTTGGCTTTGGGATGTACCAAGGTTTAAGGATGTATCGTGACATGACCGATTGAAGCAGATTTGTCACCATAATATTAAGTGACGTACCTCTCTTCGACATGTTTAGTTTTTAAAAAGGAAGTAGCAGATGCGCATGTCCAGGAAGCAGGTACCCAAAATCGGTCAAGGTCCGAAGAAAATTGAAAAATGTCAAAATTAAAAATTTCGGATGGAATTGTTACTGAGCTTTATTCATTATCTTTTGCTTTTTTGTTTAAAAATAAACTTCACCGAAAAATATTATCTTTAGAAATTCATGACGCGCATTTCCTTTTAAGGCAAGAATTTTGAGTAACAGGATAGTCTACCTGTTCGAAAAAGGCGCCAAATCGGTTTTGAATTTTTATACAAGTAGATAATTTTCAAAATTTGGAGGCGTTTTCATTGATCTCACCCTAGATTGTAATAGTGAACTAAATTCCGAGCTTTCCTTTAGATTTAGTTTTGTAAGGGAAGAATAGTAAAATTTCAAATTTAATTTGAATTATCTCGATTAAAAAGTCTTACTGTGATGGACTTTATTGATACAACGGGGCTCATATAATCGAGACCATAAAATAAATATTTTGCACACGACCTGTGGAAATGCGGGACTTAAAATACAGGTTAACTTCCGTTACAAATTGTGTAGTAGTCGAATGTGTACTGAACGTTAATTGGATTAATTAAGTAATTAATAGTGGATTAGGATTAACTGGATTTAAGTTAGCGGTTTGTTTGAACGTCGGCAAGATGAATAAGAAGTGTGCAAGGTGTGAGAAGACGGTTTATCCGACAGAAGAAATAAAATGTTTAGATCGGGTAATAAATTTATTTTCAAATTCATCATTCCGACGCAACATCTTGTTTGTTTATGCACTTGATGCACTTGTCTTGAAAAGTTTTGAGCAGGTAGCAACTTACTAGAGTTCTGCTAACTTTGCTTTGAAATAAAATTTATTTTTGAAACTGACTTGAGACGCTTTGCTACGTAATCGAAGATTTTTAATTTATGTAAAAGAATGTACAAGTTGGAATGAAAATATGGAAAGAGCTACCGATTTTCTACTTGACTGCACAATGGGCAAACTCACTCATTTCTGTTCATTTTGATTTTATGTCATAGTAGAATGTTAAGGAAGGTAGATGTAACTTTCTTGGGAGTTGTTTATTTAGGTGTAAAGTGCTTCCTCAGAGAGATGCCTTTACAATATACACTTTTGATACACAGGATAATCATCTATAATGAAAAATAAATAATTTAGAGGTTTGTCCATACACATGTTACTCTGGTTGGTATTGTAAGCATTGTATGGATTGATCTCCCTTTATAGAAACTTGATGCCATTCTGAGACTGAGCTTGTCAACTCCTTTTCAGAGTGTCTACAGTGTTTTATATTAATATGGCACCTACGCCAGGTAGTTCATGCATATTCATGAAGTTAAATATCAGTATTTTAATTAACTACATAAAATTGTTGATTCTAAATATCTAGTACCACTCTGCGACCTTCAACATCTAGAGAGTCCACATAGCTGAAAGCATTACCTAAGTATTAAATATTAATATTGTACTTAGTTCATGCATATTCATGAAGTAAAATTGTTGATTCTAAAAACCTGATTCCAGTCTGAGACTGAGCTTGTCAACTCCTCTTCAGAGAGTCAATAAAACCGATAGCATTAAGTACAGGTAATTAATATTAATAATGTACTTTGTTTTTGAATATTCATGAAGTAAATGAATTTTAATAACCTCATAAAATTGTTGATTCAGCTACAGTGGTGAAAGGTATGTGTCAGTTAAAGTAGGTCAACTTTAGGAAAATGTAGGTCACTTCTGTCAAGTAAAGATATGGTCATAATTCATCGATAATTATGAAGTTATCATCTTTTAGGTGATGATTTATAGAGTTGGATGGTTAATAGGTTTACAGATTGACTGAAATTACTTATTGACTGATTGTTCAATTATGTGTCATAGCAAAAAAAAATGTAATAGAGTCTTATGTTCTACTTTTCTACACGTGCACGTGTTTTGGCTAATGAGGATGAGTAAAGCCATGCAGAGTTCAATGAGGAAAATTTGCCAAACAAGTTAGTGATGAAAGCCTTCTATTGATTTCCAACAGTCGCGGCATGTAAAATGTGCATCGTCTATTCCCTATAGCACACAAGACCTCAGTTTATTGTAACATCAAGATGACTAGATTTTTTCCTCTCTGATCTTCTTCACTGACAGGGTGTCATCACAAGCGGACATTTCTCAATTTGAATTCACCCATCCTACAGTCATTAGTCTTAAAGCTGACAACATAAACATTAGAAAAAACGACCTTTCTATGTCATAAGTCAATGAGTTAACAAAGTGACAAAATCAATGAGTAAACAGATTTTGTTTTATAAGATGACAAATTTACTGAGACTAACTTGACCCATGCAAGTCTCTAGGCTGGGAATGATATTACTCTATAGGGATTGTAGTTTGTAAACAATCTAATGAATATTTATTGATGACTGAATGTATGTTGATAACTATTCTATAAATTGTGTCATATTATTGCAGATCCAGGTATTGATAACTATTTTATATTACTGTATTGTAATGAGAGCAGCTGGGGTCCAACTGACACAATATATTATAATTAATACTGTATAATGATAATGAATCAGACTGCAATTTGATATAACAATCAAGTTTCATTAAAATGCACCTTGGCACGTTTCATGATAAGAACCATCTTTGTGAAAGGCAGGGTGAAAATAATTTAACCAGTTAAACACCACCTTGATTTATCAAACTGCTTCTTCTAATTCTGTATCATAGGGTGAAATCACTAATTGATTTGAGTATAGTTCAGCAAAGATATTTAGCACTTCCGCGTTTCATCCAAATTTTGAAGAGGCTCGAAAAGGTGTATAGTAGTAGCAGGCACACTATTTACAGTCGTGTAAAAACACTAGTAGGAGAAATCGGTGAATATGATAGTAATGATAATGTATGTTATGATATTTGTATCAGTATATCTGAGTAAGATGATAAACTGTTGGCTAGAGGCCATGTTTATATTCAGATAGATTTACTTTAACCACCTACACTAGGTTTTACTGTGAACTGTGAAACAAGAACCCTGGTCACAGACCAGACAGAATTCCTGGAATATACTGAGAAGCAAATACTCATACACTGTTACTTTAACCTGAAACACCTACACTTGTGAATACCTTGATAGAAACAAGATCACTGGTCACAGACCAGACAGAATTCTTAAAATATCTTGAATAAAACTCTGTTAAATTTCCTTTGACTTCACAAATTGATTTTAACTGAGTTATTTATAACAGATTGAATTCTTAAAATAATCTGGATAGCATTCTGTTAAAGTTTCTTTGAAATTGAGAATAACTGATTGTACTATCTTGACAATATTGTCTTTATTTCACACTTGTATTGTTTTGTATCGTATTGTATTGTAAATTCGTAAGATCTTTGCATAAATGAGTAAGCGCAAAATACAAACAAAAGTTTATTTTATCTACCCAATCAGGTGAAAAAAAGTAGAACATTAAGTTTATTTCATTTGCCCACTCAGGTGTAGAAAAAGTAAAGCACAAAATCGATTTATGTCATGATACAATGAGTGCACCCAGCACTGTTTTATATAGATTTGATATTTACGGCTAGAGAAAGGTATAGTAAGATATAAAAGATAAGATCTAGATTAGGGACTGGTTGATAAAACAGGTTCTATATCTATTGGGTTGTAAAATAATTTAATATACCACTTTCAATTCTAATATCATTCTAAATCACCCCTTGAATAGTGGAAGTCATAATAGATCATAAACTTTCTTCTTTGATTTAAACAATATTGTTTACTACTCTACGCATGAAATCATACAGCAGAATAATTAAGATTTCGTAAACAAGCCACAGCGTAAGCTAATGTACTACCATTTTTTCCATGTTTTTCTACTCTACACAATGTGTAACCAAGGCTAAATCAAGGCCAAATCAAGGCCAAACACTGTTGAACTTGATCAAATTTAAAAACAAGTCTCATTCTTGGTGGAGCTAACGCGATATATAAGGTTATATTCTCAAGATTTATGTATTAAAGTTTACAGTACCTTAAAGTTAGTGAGTTGTCAGCAAGATGAACAGCAAGTGTGCAAATTGTAAAAAAATGGTATATCCATCCGGAGAATTTAGATGTTTAGATAAGGTAATAAAATTATTTTGAAATTGGGCATTCCGACTAGTTCATCAAATCTTTCTACATCTTTAAACTACACCATTAATCAAACGATTAAAACAACCTTTATCATGTGAGAGGGTGCCTGTATCATGATTTGCCTGTCCTGTGTTAATTGTCCTGTTTGAAAATCACCTATCCGTATGTAATAGTTATGTAAAAAAATTTATCAACTGCTAAAGTAATTTCAACAACTATGTTAGTATCTCTTTGAATAAACGCTGAAGATTTTGTCTTTTTGATGCCAAACCACTTGCCTTAGATATGAATATGTTAGGTTCACCTGAACTTGTAGAAAGATATAGAGATATATAATATAAGTTTATCTAGTATCAGTGTTTGTATTGATAGAGTACAATATATATATATCTATGTTTACCTCTATATTACGAGGGGGCTGTCGTAGCTCAGTGAGTTAGATGTTTGCTTGCCAACCAGATCATATGTGGAGTTGATACCTTCTGATTTTTAACCTAGTTCCTGTCAGTGTCAAAGGAGCTGACATGGAAAAAGCATCTAGTTGTTTGGATGAGATAATCAACTGAGCCCTGTGTAGGACTGGGTATTGATTACCAAATTGAGATCGATTATCAATGGCAGACTACTGATCAATAATCGATTAATAATAGAAATAATTCAATTAAGAAACCCTGTAAATACTAAAAGCCAAAATTCTTAATTTCATGATCTTTGCGTCATAGAAGTATATTCTTGCTTTGATTGTTTATTATAGTGCTGAAGGGAGAATATGTGGAAGAGATTACTACTTGTTAGAGGGTACAGTGGAGAAAATATAACTTTGATATAATCGATTATGAAATTTGTTAAACGATAATCAAAATGATAAATTCCTAGTGACGATAATCAAGTATTTCGATCATTTTTCCCAGCCCTAGGCCTGTGTCCTTCATTCTTTGTCAAGATCCCTTGACATTTGAAAATCAAAAAGAGTAAATTAAGGCCACGGGCTTGTAGGATAAGCTTATCTTTCATTGTGCACTTCAAGTTATTTTCTGTCTCTATACTGGCCAAATCAAACACCAAAAATTACAATGTGAAACGTCCATATCATTTCTAGCATGGATTATTGTTTTTTATGGTTATAACTAAGTTGATCCATGTAAACATGTTTTATAGTCATCACGAGAACTAAATCACTCAACCATCTTCTTGTTGTTATATTTTTTACTGTGAACTTATATTGTTATTATGATATGTGATCTAATTTTTGAATTGACCTACTTTTCGACCATGGTGTTTACTGTATAATCATTGATCCATAAGAAGTAGTAACTTGTCTCCCCGGCAGTAATGCAGCAGTTTGAATAAAAAAGTTAGATCTGTGCATGGGTAGCTGAAGGTCAATGTTTTGATTCCTGGCAGAGATTGAGATTTCCGCTTGATTTCGCGTCTGTCGAAGTGACTGACATTGATATTATGTTCATTCAAATGGCATAATAAACAAAAACATATATATTATGCTATAAGAGAAAAAAGCAGGCTTATTTCATTTCTTTAGCTTTTCCTTCATAATCACCTTCAAAATATTAGCATTAATGATGACCTTGTGAATTGAATAAGACTATACCATAGTGAAACATAAATCAGTAATAAAAGGTATTGAGATCTATAATAGATAGAGATTATCAATGAAATAAAATTGTATGACCTGATGATTATATAGTACAGACCTATTATAATGATTGATGAACACTAGATCAACTCAGATAATAATCCTTTTATATTACTATATTATTTTATTCTCAGGCAGATTCTTAAAGCGGAACGGATGAATTTGTGTAAAATGTCATAGCCAAGCTTTCTGATTCTGGCCCATCTTAGCAGAGGTGGTCTCGAAACAGTTCTCCTAAAGGCCCTCGGATCAGAAAGGATGAATTTGTTGTCATTTAACCACTACAATTCTGGAGTCTCGATTAGGTGTTCTCAAAACAGTTCTTAAAATAGACTCAATAAATTGGTGTAAATGTAGATAATAACTGATCTGCTCCAAGAAACATTTCTTACATGAAAGTAATGAACTAGGACTGGCACGAAGTTTCATTTGTGTTCTGCTCAGCCAATACCTATTTGGCTCAATAAAGAAAACACAGATATAGGTTCTGATACCAGAGAATAATTTCTATACTATCTTCTATTAATACTAAATGCTATAATATACCGAATAAACAAATGAACTAATATGCACTCATTAAGCAAATAATGGACTCTCTGTCAATACTGAGTTGACAAACCTAAATACCGAATAAAAACATTATTAGCTATGTAGACTCTCTGAAAGGGATGCTGAGTTGACAAACCTAAATGCCGAATAAAAACATTATTAGCTATGTAGACTCTCTGAAAGGGATGCTGAGTTGACAAACCTAAATGCCGAATAAAAACATTATTAGCTATGTAGACTCTCTGAAAGGGATGCTGAGTTGACAAACCTAAATGCCGAATAAAAACATTATTAGCTATGTAGACTCTCTGAAAGGGATGCTGAGTTGACAAACCTAAATACCGAATAAACATTATCATTATTAGCTATGTGGACTTTCTGTAATGGATATCGTGTTGACAAACCTAAATACCGAATAAACATTATTCGCTGTGTGGACTCTCTGTAATGGATATCGAGTTGACAAACCCTAAATACTGAATAAGCATTATAAGGTATGTGGACTCTCCAAAAGAAATGCTGAGGCCTAGCAGATAGAAATCAATTATCATTGTAGATTTTCTGAAAGGGTTGCCAAGTGGACAAGTCTGCTGTAATATTGCTAATCGTGCAGAATTTATTCACACCAAAGTATTTTATATTGCAAATAGATGCACAAAATATGAAGGAATGAATCGAGTTGATATAAAAGTAATTAATAAAGTGATGAATTTTAACGAGGAGACGTGTCGTTAATTATCAATTAAAATGTAACGTGATTTAATTACACCCACTCAGCCTAACCTGATTCTTACTTGGATATTGTTTTATTTTATCATTCAATATTTCAAAATTTTCTGTAACTGTTAGTCCAAACTTGTGTACCTTATTACACACTGCATGGCATTGTCTCCCCATGAGATAAACATAACAGTAACTATGTGCAATGCCTGCCCCACTGACAAAAACATAACTTTAAAGAATTAAAAAAAGGTTTGATTTAAGTACCGTATTTTCTCTACATTTGATTAGTACATTAGTATTCGTATTAGTTGTTCATGGAGATTGATTTCAATGCTCGATACATGTAAAATCTACTCTGACCTGTGTCCAGACCTTGTTAATGCTGATAATCCTGAAGTGAATAAAGGACCCTGTTTTCAGATAATTCAACTTCTATATTTACAACTAAGATTAAGGTTTAAGTCTCAGGAGACCAGTTTCATAAAGTCTTTAATAAAGATGATTTTCGTGTTCTGGTCATCTGGTTGGTCGATAATTAAAATAGGTTTTAAATTTACTAACCAATCAAATTGCTGTATGTCTTCAAATCTGGATTTTATCTACTAGTACCTAAGTTAAACTTTGTGAATACAAGGCCCATGAATATAAAACAAAGAAAGTATTTTGGTTGAAGGTTTAGAGTAGAAATGTAACTTATTTGTAGATGTTTATTCATTATTTATTTACATCTTTCTGGCCTATTATCTTACATACTACAGTAAATTCTTAACATTGTCTGGATAAAACATAATCAGAAACATGCACAAAGATTTCTCTGTACTTTCTGGAGCTTACAATATACAATACAATGAAACCCATCTAAACTGTCCAATTAAAATTAGACCAAACAATACATCCTAACATTCTGTGGCCTTGGCCAGTGCTTTCAATGCACACAAACACTAAACTTTCATTCTGTTTTTATAAGCTTTTATTTTCAATATAGCCACTACAGTTACACTCACAGTTAGAGTGTTAGGACCTGCCTCATGAACATTTAACCCAATAACCTTTTGACCTATCCTGATGACCCCTGCTTTAACCAATCAAATTTTTGCCCTCTCCCGCGCTGTGATTTTGTGAGGGAGTGAAGGAATTTGATTGGTTAAAATATTGGGACGAATGTTCAAGACGCCTATAGACCCTAATTGAAGAGGCCATTAAAAAAATAATAGCTAAGAGCAACAGAAGTTTGGTCTAATTTTAATTAGACTTCCCATCTAAAATTGTCGGCATGACTAGCGGAAAATGTTGCTGGTTTAGAGTAGAATTGGTTAATCAAAGATAGAGTTACATCCCTTTATGAAGTCATCCATAATCTGTAGTAACCTCCAACCATTGGCTCTATCTGTATGTTGCTGTATATCCTACAGCTAGGTCTTCCTAGATTTGTGGTCAAACTTAAATGCTGATGGATGATGTTGAATTGGTAATTGTATTTTTTTTTTTCAATATGGTACCAAATTTGGTAATCTTGGTATCACTTTACCCTAACCGATGTCTCAAAGCTCATTATGGTGGCGATAGGTCTTGTTTGCTAGTCTATAAAAGTAGAAAAATGATTTCATTGTAAAGATTATTTCTTGTTTCTATTTCAGGTGTGGCATAAATTTTGTTTTAAGTGTGATGTTTGTGGAATGACGTTAAATATGAAAAATTATAAAGGTTATAATAAACGTCCCTATTGTACTACGTAAGTTCTGAAATATTTAAATTTTAACTTAAAATCTTATCCTAATCCTACATCAACACAATTATATGGATAACAATTACTTTAACGAAAAATAACGTGATGTTTTGACGATGATACTTTCGTCTTTATCAATCAATGATACAAAATAACAGAACAGTATCATCGTAGAAACATCGCTAGTTATTTATTACAGTAATTTTTATCCATAAAATTGTGTTCATATTTCATACCTCAATTATTAAATGCCACTTAAGGAAATCCTAATCCTGTTTATTGAGAAAGTAAGCTCATACACTTCAGTTCTGTATTAGAATGTTCACCTTTATTTCCAAACTACCTGTCCTGATTATTCTTTTATATCTGAAACATGTGTTGGAACCAAAATCTCTAAGATATGTATTTAGAGTCTTTGTACCCTCGAATAATCTTCTGCTCGTTGCTTATTAAATCTAGCTCATGATGAGGCTTTTATGCCTGAAATGTGCATTGGCAGCATGATATGAGTTTAAACTCTTTGTGCCCTAGGATAATCTTCTCTCATATATGCCTTTAGTTCTGTTATCCCAGGGCCCTGATGAGAATTTCATATCTGAGTAACATAAGATAAGCCCTCATCAATTACTAAATATGTTCCAGTGCTTTTTAAACAAGCAACATGATCAATTTCAATAATTTTCTTCCAGTCATTATCCTACAACAAAACATACCGCAGTGGCTGAAACACCTGAAATGAGAAGAATAGCAGAGAATACCAAAATACAGAGTAATGTAAGTTTTATTATAATATACTTTATTAACTATTTCTAGTTGATATCTAACAATACACTATAAATCCTTGCCTTAATATTCGCTACTGCCCAATAAGTTGGTTTCAATCTGACAAAAAAAGGCTAAAAACCCATGGTTTAAAAATGGTATGGATTTACACCTTACATACACAACAACAAAACACATGTCTAATATAGATTATCTTTCAGCTCTCGATTTTACAACCAGCTTTCAGCTTTTCTCAGAATTTTATATCATCAACAAAATTAACCAAGGAGTGACCTTGAACCTTGAAACGTGTCTCGTGATTTGTTTATACCTGGAAATATTTGTGACCCCTCATCCCTGAAACCCAGTCTTAGTCCCTTTTAGACGTCACCATGAACAGAAAAGGTTTTTGAAACGTCTTGTGATTTGTTGTATACAGTGCTCGGAATTATTTGTGACCCCTCATCCCTCAAGCCCTGATTTAGTCCCCTTTAGACGTCACCATGAATATAAGAATTTCCTGGTTCCCTTGCCTCAAAGTAATTGTGGCCCCACATCCCTTCAACCCAGCCTTAGTCCCCTTTAGTCGTTAACCTTCCAATTTTTTTTTATCTCCAAGCGATGTAGACTTTATATTTCACCTTCAGATATATTTTACTCTCAAGACTCTATTTTATTTTCTTGATTTTGTCCAAGAGATGGATTTTGTTCTTAGAATAATATTAAGACTTGTATATCAGCCTTATTGGTTTATTTTTACAGTATACCAGTATACTTTATATCTGAATGATTGCATGGTATGTGTTGTCTAACCTGCATCTTATAAATTGAGTAATAATTGGCACTTGTTGATCATGATTGATGCTTCTACAGTTTCCAGGAGTATAATTTACAGAGTACAGTAAACAGAAATAACCCTTTAATATGCATGGAAATAGATTGATTGTAAATTGGAAGTGGGACTAATGTTATTCCTTGTAAGCCATTGTGAAAGAGAGTGGGAGTAGGAACTCTCCTTACTTTGAAGGTTAAAGATAAATTAAAAAGAGAGTTGATATTTATTGCTTATTTAAGAGTTAGTTTAAATTATGAAAATGAGATTGAAGGAGGACTTCATAGCTTCCCTTGGCCTACATCCATTCCGATCTGTTGCAAGGTTAAGTTTCATCAAGAACTATATTTTAATCATATTGCACTTATTTATAAGTATATAAATCGTATGCCAGTTGAAAAAAGAAATATGAGACTGCCGCCCATCCTGAAAAGAATAAAATAATTAATTAAAATTTATGATAATTAGAGAAAAGAGAAGTAGAATTGTTTAGAATTAAAAAATCAGGTCAGGTTTAAAAAAACCCAAGCTTCCTGTTTTAAGTTAGAAATTCATAGTGACCCACTTAAATAATACAACCAGACCAAATTTCATATGAATGTAATAATGTGTTCAGTTGACAAATTCATGCTGAATGTTTTAACATATTTCTGCTTAATACGAAATTGTCATAACTTAGAAATTTAAGGTTACTTCTAAGATTATACAGACAGACAAAATGAAGTTTTGAATTTCACAGAAAGACTTTTGCTGTGGGAAGGTTCGTGCTTGCAAAATACCTATCTCTTTCACATGATCACTGCAATTAGAGCCCATGACCACAGTTTCTTTGACATATCCAACATATGAGGTCATGTGAAGCTTCCAAGTTACCGATTATCTTAAAATTATGATGTTTCTGACTACAAGCTAGCAATATCAACAGATCAAATTAATCAAATTGTTGATAATATTAAAAGTTAAGATGTTACAAGGCAATAAACTAGAAATCTGATTATTCAGAATCATCTTTACAGTAATATCAACCAATAAGAAACCTTAATATTGAAGTCAATAATATGAAAGTAAGGATGTTTCCAACAAGCTCTGAATATATTTTAACTAAACTATTTTCACCTATTAATTGACTATTATCATGCGAGTCTGATGTACTATAATAATATAGTAATGTATATAGAAACACGGAATATGAAGTTGTCTGGTGTAAAATTAACATCAGCTGTATTCTTTCTATACATTGTTTTATACAGAGCTAGGTTAATTTATATACAGTTTATATTCAAACAACAAACTGCTCAAATTACAAACAGAAAACTGATATATACTTATCAAAATTACAATTCAACACACTGATCATATCAAAATATATATAGTGGCGGGTCACAGTATTGTCAAAGGGGGGCGATTCGATCTCTATTTAAAGTGAAAGAAAATCTAGAGTAAAGGGCCATCTTTACAATGTCAAGCTATTACAAACTGTGTCTTATACCTTGACTTCATAAGCGAGTAGGACGTAAAACTCCATTCATTTCATTTCATTTGACTTCATAAGCCACCTTTCTTGTATCATGGAAGTGTGTAAATGCAGTGATTTGATTGGATTGTACACTAGCTAACACAGCCAATAAGATGCCTTGACAGAAGTCGATTTACATAATGTGTACAGTCTTTCTTCGAGGGCCCTGATTGGATGTTTTGGTTGGCATACAATCCAATCAAATCACTGAATTCAGTGATACAAGAAAGATGTTGGTTGCAGACAAGGTATAAGACAACATTTTTAATAGCTTGACATTGTGAAGATGAAGCTTGGCCAGCCTTAATTCTTCCCATGTAGATGTGCCACCAAGAAAAAGTTAAGATTGATTGAGCTTTATCAGCTGTTAAAAAAAACTATAAAAATTAAACTATATTAATAGTATGAAATATCTTGCACCACCCTGTATATTATTCAGTAATATTAATAAATAGTTTACTAGAAGTTATGAAAGGTTATCATCAATATTACATCCTAATATATTTACATATTAAAGCTTTTAGAACTTGAAGAATATGTTATAGAGCTAAAGGATACAGGATGCTAAATTTCAGCTGGTCCCTTTGCTTTTTTATACTGCCTCCTCCTCCTCCATACCCCAATCCTCCCAACTCAGAATTGAGGCTGGCCTGAAATTAAACCTTCTGTGGTCCCTCATCGATATACATCATTCAAGGGATGCACTCATAGAAATATTGACTCTATATGCTATATTAGAACTTGAAGGGAATAATCGAGCTGTTCAATTTTCAGAGAAGTGTATTTCTGATCAAAAAGTATCTAACATTTGATGCTGTTACAGACCTGCTTTGCCATCTATTCTATTTTTACCACATTATGGTTAAAGTTAATCTTTCTAAATAATTGTACTGATTAAACAGTAATTTCCAATCTTGAAATAGTTATTTTTATCAAGTATTTAAGATATTTTTAGCGTGGTAGAAGGTTATAATCTGAGAGTTAAACTGACTATTGAGGTGTGAACTAGCCTCCATCACCTGTTGTATAATTACTAGTGTTTATATTTCAATGTAGGTCCTTAATGAATACCTTACTCTTGGGTTATTCTCTAATTTAAATATACTCCATCATTACTGCTCTATCAACACTTTAGATTGGATTCTAAGTTGGTGTTCCAACCAGTTATAGGTTGTCAAAGAGAAAAACTATATTTTCAAATCACCCACTCTTGAGATTGAAAATTCAGCTTAAAAAGAATCTAATCCCTAAAACTTTCAGTGTTTGGTGGCCATTGTGTTGTATGATGATCGGCAATACACAGCACTACCCCCATGACCTATTTGTCTCACCTGTGATAGTAACAGGCTTTTCACCTGTAGGTAGAATAAACCAAGGCCCAGACTGCACAACTATCTAGAAACAGTTTGAAATTTAAATAGAGTAGCAACAATTGACAAGGCACAGGATTACACCCTTCCCCTAGTTGTCTCACCTCTGATAGTAACAAGTTTTTTACCTGTAGGTACAGTACCATGGTGATTTTGAGAGATCTAAAGGAGCTTATATGTGTCTAGCAGACAATCCTGAAATATTGAGACACAAACAGAATCAGCTGAACTCTAGTCTGGTATTTCAACTCTTATTCTGTTTCTGTTTGTCTTTTAGACTTTTAGTTATTTTGTATTTCAGAGTTTTTGAAGAGTTTGATTTTTTGTTTTTTTAGAAAATTTCTTGAATTGAAGAAATTTTATATAAATGAAGAATTTTTGTGTGATTTTTTTCCTTTTCAAGCCTTTTTTGGTACGAGGATGCAAATTTGCCTCTGATATTTTTTTTTCTTTCTATTTTTGTGCTTGAATACCTGAATGAAAACTTTTTTAAACCCTGATTAAGTTACCTTCAAAAGCAATATAAAAGATGGAATCTTTAAAACTGTTTCCTCATGAATTATAAAAGTACAGGACTCAGTGAAAATACTTGAACAATTTTCATTGCTTCTTTAACACATATAGTTCAGAAATAGACTAACACATTGTACTATTGCTGTATTAATGATTTAAATATACCAGCAGTCTGGCATCTGGTTGAAATTAAACTCCAGAGAATTTCCTGTCAAAGCCTATCCTGTTTTTATTTTCCTGTTTGATAGAAAATGTCTCTCTGTCTGGCACCAGATCTACCTTTCATCCTACTAGTCAGATTTTAAATCTTTTGTGAATTTGTAAATCATTAGTCTTGACAGCTATTTCCTTTTTTTCAGCATTTTTGAAACATAAGAAATTCTTTAGACATCATTTTAGAGGGAATAAGATAGATGAACATTTATACACTGTGTCTAATAGGGTATTTGTTACAGGATCAAGAAGTCAAAAAAAAAACCCTGATAGTTCCTAGTTAGCATGGTGAAGACCCCCACAAAAAACATATACATGGGCAGCCTTACCCTTTTCATTTTGCAACTTTCATAAGTTCGACAAGTATCCCACCACTATGCATTTTCAGCATTTTTTTCCGTAATACTTTATGTTTAATAATACAAAGTTATATTTGCTGAGTTATTGTTATACAATGTGTTACTAAACATTGTTATTTGGTTGTAAAGTTTACACTGGGATTTAAATTGTACCAAACAATTTATAGATTTCCAATTTTCAATCTTATTTTTCAGAAGTTTTAAGATGA